GCTAATTGTACTTTAATTGCTTGTCGTTCTTGCGAAGACCAACAAGTTTCAGTCGGTATCTGTGTTTGGACAACATTAGAATAAAAAGGTATTTTGTAACCTTCAATCCAACTCAAGATGGTTTCATATGAGGTTAAAGCCTCCCATTTTGTTATAAAAAGGGATAATCTTCCGGCAATTTTACCTACCTTTAATTCTTTTTCTTCTATTCTGGTTGATTCCGCTTCGTATACGGAACTTTGTTGCGAGGAAACTGTCTGTGTCCCCGACTGTAAGGACGTGTTTGCCCGCCACCCCTCGAGTTGAAGTTCCGTCTGAAAGATTTCCGTAGAGGCGGGCCGCTGTAGTTTTTTGAATTTTTCTCTTTTTCAGAGTTAGACCTTTGAGGTATCACCAAATCTTTTGTCGAATTTTTTAATACCTTGGCAGCTTTGATTTTTTCCGACAAATTTGAACCGAACAAAAAACTATCTGGTGGAAGATCTTTAAGCACATCTTTAAATGACGCTTTTATGTTTTTTAGAATTAAATTTCTTCGAATTTCGGTCTCGTCATGTAGTAAGTCTGTTAACAGTCTCATAACAAAGTTAAGGGGTTCTAAATATTTAGCCCTGTCTGGTGGATTTAATGTCAACATTAAATCTATCGTTCGTCCTAACGCTGCAAGTGAAGCAACAATTTTTTCTTGTTTTTCAATAATCCTCTCATCCCTTTTCACAATTGTATTGTCTACTACTGCTTTAACTTCCAAATTAAGCTTTGGAGGATCCATTAACGTACAATTTTCTGGTGGAGGAAATTTTTTCAAAATCTTTTTTCGTTCTTCTAAAGGAAGCCCTTTTTTAATAATTTCCAACTAAATATCTGCTAGATGAGGATGAACTGCAGGTGCTAAAACTCGATCTGCCATTAAGCGCTCACCAAAAATTTTTAAAGTCTCGTCATCTAAATCTTTATGAGCATTTTCTGTTTCCGACTTAGATTCCTTATCGTTATTACTTTTTTCCCTTTTTTCGTCTGTTTTTTCGTGTGAAATTTGTCTTTCCACGGTTGGTGAGCGACGTATTGGGGAATTTTTCTCTAATTCTGAAAAAGCATTAAAATTTTCTCGATCTCTTGATGTCGATCTACTAACTGTACGTGAACGATTGTTGTATCAATTTTCCAAATAATTATCGTCATAATTATCATCATTATTGTTGTCATAATAATCATCACCATCATAATAGTCGTAGTACCTTCTATGAGATCGGCTTCTTGATCTACTGGACGATTTACGAGACTTTTTACGAGACGATTTACTTGACGATGAGCGGCTCGAATGACGACTACGTCTGCCTAAAATAAGCATTTTTTAGAAAAGGTTAATAAATTACTAACTATTTAAAACCGTTGAACGATATTAAAATGGTTTACTAATTTGTAATGTACACAAAGCGGTTGAAACCACAGTGTGAGAGCATTGAAGTTAAACATATTAACTGAAAAATGTATTCATAATATTTATTTTTAGTAAATTATTACTACTTATATTTATTTTATAATCATTGTATAATTACAATATTTATTGTGGTACACAAAGTAGTTGAACTTCAATGTGACGAATAATTTTTTGGTTAATCAGTTGAACTGAGAAACACACTCATGGCCATAATATTTTGCTCATTTGACCATTTTAATTTTATTTTCTATTCATTAAATGATTAGAAATTTTGGTCATTATATATTCCAGAAAAAAAAATCAACTTGTCACTTCGTTCATAAAAGACGTTTTCTTTTTGAGGTTATAATATCTTTATATACTCACTGTGCTGTTTATCTTTTTCTGCTTCTGAAATTTTCTTTTCTAGTGCTTTTATTCTTTTCAATAATTTATGTTTTTCATTATCATCAGTAGGAGAATGATCTCTATGTCTTCTTTTTGGCATTTTTTTAATCAATTTTTCAATTATAGTTTCGACGATATCGGCACAAAGAGAAAAAATCGGACAAGTGCGAGTTACACTCGCATTAAAACCGAGGGTTCCGTACCCTTAAACCTAAAATTTAAGGGGTTAAAGTGTAAAGGCATGTGGAAAAATTCCAATTTTGCTTAATTTTTCCTGTAATGTGAGCATAAAAACACATAGATAGAGACATAGTCACATATAACGAAAATTATCAGTTTTTCAAGTAAATTTATTAAATATTTGTATACATAGCCTAGTAGTTTTACGTGCAGGATCTCCCTGTACACGTATAGCCACAATCGCGGGGCCAAGATTTGCTCGGCGACCATCGATGAACCTGATGTTCTGCTCATTTACCGATTCCCACAAGGCTGGTAAGGACCTTGCAAACCTTCGGTTTGGGCCGGGACCTTTCCAATCCCTATTAACGGATATGCAGACCGCTTCCCGAGCTGAGACCGCAATTATTACATCGAGACCTAGAATGTAGAGCGACTTCTATAGTGCTAAAGCACCTAAAGAATCGTCAACTTCAATCAGCCTCTAACCAAAGCGATTTGGGCTATTAACCACTGCCACCGAGAGTCCAACCCAGTTGTAGAGAAATTATTGAATTATAAATAGGAGTTGATCCGCCTGTATTTAGGCAACTCGTTTGTTTCGTTAAAATCGACAAACTTCGGCGAATATTTATGTATTTCGGAGAAACGCGTAGTGGGTTCGTGGAATCGGCTGGGTTGGGAAAAATCGCGATACTAAATAGTCGCCCCTCTAGCTCTCTGCCTCATTTTACTTTGCAAAATTATGAAGGAAATTCCGTGCCATATGCGAAGTCCGATACCGTAAGACCTCAAGTGTGGCGCTTTATGTGATAATGGTCGGAAATTAAGTCGATCAGGGCGCTAATCGGGTTCTAATGTGGAGAGCTAGAAGGGCGGTTTTTTCAAACGAGAGAAAGACAGATTAAAAGAAGGATTCCGCATTTCGTCGTCAAAACGTAATTAACGGAGGAAAATTGATTAGCCTCATCTATATTGAAACTACCTCAGAGCCCAAGCCGTCTCCGAACCCACGCCGATTCTGACTTGCAACCAAATTGGAAAGTTTGAGTATTTTTACTATGTTATTTATTGTTCTTTTCAATATTTTATGCATTTATTCGACTCAACTTCTACTTTTTGTCCGAAAACTTTATGTGTGAATGTTGAATGCTATAGTGTTAACGCGGGCAACAATTTTGTAGATATTGAGATATTTAATTGACTCGAGTCATAATTGAAAATTGAATTAAAATATTTTATTATACATTTTATATTTGTCTTTTATTATTTTATTGTTAACTTAATTTTGTATTGACATTCTATTGATTGATTTACTTTTGTAATTTATTTTTGTGATTTTTTCTCGTGATTTGTTGTATTTAATATTTATAATTTTTTCTAAATAATGTAATATTACACAGTGATCCGGATGAAGTTTAATCTTCACGGGCCCTGGAACTTATTAGTACCGTTCATACTTTGGTATGAGTAATATTTTTATACAAGAAAATGTACATATTTTTGTGCAGGTTCTTTTATGCCTTCGTTTAGTAAAAATTAAAAACTTTAAAGGTTGCGTAGTAGTTTTCTTAGGACTTTACAGCTGTGCAATAATTTTTAGCATGCATAGTTAAAGAGTTTCATGTGTAAGTACTTGTACATGAACCTGCACAATAGTATGTACAAGACATGTACATTTTTTTATACAAATATTAAATATATATTTTCAGGTACAAGATCTTGTGCAAGTTCTGATACAAGAACTTGTTCTAAAGTCAGGTGATAAAATTGTACATTTTCTTGTACATGTCCTCACCATAAGGGGCTGTCTATAAACTACGTTACCTATTTTGGAGGGGGAGGGGGTCAAAAAATCTTAAAAAAATGCATTTAACGCAAGGGTAACGAGGGGGGGAGGGGGTCTAAAAAGAATGAAGAAGTGGTAACGTAATTTATGGATGGCCCCTAACAGGTACAAGTTCAGTTGCTGAACATGTACATTTTCTTGTACAAGGATTTTCAATAGTCTGTAGACTCCATATCCTAATGTATATATAACTTTTCTCTTGCTGTCCGGAGAAGAATAATTTGATAATATATGCAAATTTTATTGAATTAGAGAAAGTTTGTGGAAGTATCTATCAAGAAAGGTAGATTAGCTAAAAGCGTTGGTAATAATGAAAATTTATTTCCAAAAAAAATTTATTTAAATTATTAGATATTGTAGTCTTTACTCGAAGGATTAAAAAAAATTTATTTTTGACAAATTGGCAAACTCAACTTTTCGATTTTTACTAATAAAAACAGTGGTTTTTCTGCTGTAAAGAGTTTTTCATAAAAAATCCTTCTATTAAAGACTAGATATTTATGTATAAAAGAGGCACACAAAATTTCAGCAAAATCGGTTCATTATTTTTTGAGCAAGCGTGGTCACGAATTTGCGAAATTCTATACAATAGTATAATAGGGGAAAACCCCGACAGGCGCCAGGTGTTTCGGAAGCCGGCCCCCTAACGATCTGTAGCGCACTTCCCAGAGACTAAATATCTCACTCATCCAATCAACACACAAACTTTCAGGAAGCTTGCTGTGCAAGTTGTGCAAGATTGCAGTTAAAACATGCAGCAAGTTTGGTGTAAGTAACAAAATGTCCTCTTACGGCAAGCTCACTCCAAGTTTGAAAAAATTAACACGGTGTGCAGTTATAAACGGAAGCTCCTACGGCTGCGCAAAAAATGTTTTAACCTCCAAAGAGGGGTGCCCTTTACATTCATTTAAAAACAAATTGTTTGTTTTATTTCTAAACAAAATTTTTTTCATATTATACAAGCTTGCAGCAAGCTTTTTGCAAGTTTGCTGCAAGCTTGCTTAACTACCAAACTGGCTATATGTTTGCACTGCAATCTTGCACAACTTGCACGGCAAGCTTGCTGCTTACTGCAAGTTATCGTGTTGATTGGTCCTAGTATTTTATTTTAAATTGTATTTTTTTCAATAAATATATGCTTACCTGCGAATCTTTAAGACCAAGTTTTTCAGCAAGTTTTTTACGATCAGGTTTACTTATGTACTTCTGTTGCAGAAACTTTTTTTCAAGTCCTCGTCTTTGTAAATCAGAAAATACTGCTCTCCTCATCATACCTCTTCGCGGTTTTCCTCGAGCACAATTAGACCAAGGAAACCCTATGGCCATGCTAGCAACATCGCTTAATGCACCCTGCATTCCTCCTGGAAAGACTGTCCCACCACCACCAGGATTAACAATTTGATTTCCAGGACCAGGGTTGGGACCTTAAAAAAGAATAACTTATTTTCTTTTATTTAATATTTAACACTAGTAGAAATTTGTAATGGCACCACTAGAATTAGTCAAGTAACTGGATAGTTTTTTCGTGACGGCCTATTCTAGCTAAACTAGTAAATTACTGCATAGTGGCTAACCAAAATTCTTGGAAAAAATTTCAAGTTAAACTTGATATTTGCACGACTCAAAGCTGTTTATTTATTTTAATGGCACTGTCCAGTGCTGCTCGAAATTATATTCCTATGCTTGTCATGGTGATGGCGCTACAATAATTCTAGTAACTGGATAGCTGTGCTAGGATTTTGTGTATTGACATTTCGCTTGCTTGGTGTAAAAGAATTACAACTTGTTTATAAAAATTAATTATTAAATAAATTAATAATAATATTAATTGGGGAGTCTGAGGAGTTGCGAAGCACGATCTCAGATATCGCCTAGTAGTGTTTTGACAGCTCTTACCTATTGTCAACATTTTTTAAGGGGGGGGGGTAAGGTTAATTCCATGAAAAAAATGCATATTTTTACGAATTTTTTGTGGCTATACAGAAAGAGTTAATATATTTATTAAATTTTTATATAATAGTACAACATTTGAACAGTATTTCACCAAAGTTTCATTGCAAAATATTGAAAATTGATCGCGTGACAGTACATTTCCTCTGGCTCCCCAAAAAAAAGTTATTTTGCGGTGTTCACTGTAACTCGCAATAGAATCATCTAAAACAAAAGAATCAAAATGGATTTGTTAAAGGAGATGTTTTTCTAGGGATCCCTGAGAGGGTTTTTTTTTTTATTTTTGAATTTTACATTTGGTCGTGCTTCAAAACTCCCTAATCTCCTCTATTATATTATATTAATGATATTTTATTATATTATATTAATAATTAATTAAAATTATTTTATTTATAAAATTTTACATATTATAATTTTTGAGAATAATAAATAAACCCTCTACGGTACCCCCATGATTTTTTCGTTAAAATTGCGAGTAGTGTTCTCCCACATAGCACGACTTCTTGCTGTGAGGTTACTGTAATGATATCTGTAGGGTTTGTAAGGTTACCGTGTAAGCCTACAGTAACTTGAGGTCATCTTAAAACTTCCGCCATTACAGTAAGCTTACACGGTAAGGTTGTTGTAAGCTTTCCGTAAGGTTACTGTAAACATAGAATGTTATTAATAAATAAATTTTATTAATATTTATGCGCAGTAGTTTTCTATGGAACATAAAGCTGCGCAGTAAATTTTATTGAACAAACCATATTGAGGTTCATGAAGTACTTTACCAAATATATAATTTTTTTAAAAAAAAATTTATAATATAATATATATTATAAAATAATTATTTTTAATATATTTTCATATTACTCTATGTTTACAGTAACCTTACAGCAACCTTACAGTAACCTTACGGGAAGCTTACAACAACCTTACCGTGTAAGCTTACCACAACCTTACCATGTAAACTTACCACGACCTTACTGTGTAAGCTTACCTTAGCTTTACTGTTTAAGCTTACTGTAATGGCGGAAGTTTTAAAATGACCTCAAGTTTACTGTAGGGTTACACGGTAACTTTACAAACCCTACAGATATCCTTACAGTAACCTCATAGCAAGAAGTCGTGCTATGTGGAACTTATGTAGAATTTTTTTTAATCCAATTCAAAATTAAATAGTAATTTAATTGTATATAATAATAAATAATTTTTTAATTTAAAAATAACACAAGCCTGCAATAAAAAAATTTCTGTTGTCAGAGATCGAAAAATCATTTCCTGTAGTTTTTGGTGCGCTGAATCCGAATGTGGCAACAAAAACCTCCCATCACGTCAGGATTTTAAGAAAAGTGGGGGTAAAAGTCCCAAATATCACGTTTTGGGTAGTTTTTGAAAATTTTTACTGAGTAAATCAAGCGTGCTAGAGACTTGTTATAGGAGTCAAATTAAAGCTTGAACCCTGTACTTTACGACGATACAATGATATTGATAACAAACTAAATTAGCTGTAAAAAATGATTTTTTTAAGGTATTACTCACACGACTGGTAACATTCAAAAGTTTTTTCTAGTCACTGTACTTAGGAAACAGTAAAACATGCGAGTTTCAAATAAAACTTTTGCGCAGGTACAGTTTCACACATTAAGCATCTCAGTTCATATACACAGACACACACATATCACGGTCTAGAAAAGCGATCATGGCAACGTCGCAAGTTTTTGATTGCAAATGGCGTCTTCTGTTAAAAGATTTTTTCGCAGTGAAAGATAAAAGTTTTTGTTTTAAAGTGCGTGTAGATGTAATATCAAAATTTAAAAGATGGAAAAACAATTGAGATACAAAGGCAAATTTATTAAACAAAGCGTTCTTACCAAAAAGACGAGTTTTCTTGCCCAAATGACTCGGGGAAAACAACTTTGCGATGAATTAAATAATGTCAAAGACGTAGACGTAAATAAAGTGACAGAAATTTGTCCTGGTCGACGAATTGTTGAATTGGACGTCATAGCAAAAAATTTAAAGTGTATAAAGTGCAAGGAAGCAATTTTCCTGAATGATATTCAAAGTGAAAAGTGTTTTGGACTAAACTCAGTTCTAACCATCCGCTGTCAAAAATGTTTGACAGAAACATCAGTTCCAACTGGAAAATTCCACAAAACCCTGGAATCACACTCTCACTCTGACGTGAATACAAAAGCAGTTTCAGGTAAGATTTGCTGGTTTGTGAATTACTTTATCATCTTAATCTTAACCTAACCTCACTTTTTAAATATGCAGGAGCTGTACATTCAGGAATCGGAAACACGGCGCTAAATAAGGTGCTAGCGTGTTTAAATATTCCTTTAATATCAACAAACTTGTATAAAAGATATGAAAGGGAAGTTGGGCCTGCACTAGAAAAAATTGCAAAAGACAGTTGTAAACAAGCCGCTACGGAAGAACGCCAATTGGTAATAAACAATGTCGACCAGCTGTGTGAGGATCTGTAAGGTTTTTTTTAGTTCTTAAGTTTATTATTTAATTTAAAACAAAATATAATTTACTAGTGTTAAAGGTTTTACTCAAAATTTAATAATGGGACAGGGAAAGAAGTTCAGTGAAAAGGTCCGAAATTGAAATGTTTAAAATGTGTTTAATATAAAGGTTTAAATTAGAAAATAAAGTTTGAATACACTGAGTTGAATAATTTGGAAACTTAAAGTCTTTAGAAATACTCGATTTAAATAAACGATCTCGCTCAAAGTTAGTTAACACGCTCACGGACAAAAGGATCGATCTGTTTCGCTCGATGTGACGATCTAATCTGACTCTACGTTAAATTGACTCTAGCGTTCAAAATTGGTAATCAAAATTCGCGGTAAAATTTAAATCTCTAACACTAGTATATTATAAACATATAATACACTTATAAAATATTAAATAGAATTGAATGCTTTTATAATTCTTCATTTGATCTACAATATGTATATTTATATATGTGTTGCAAAGGTGTTAGCTGCCTACAGAGATTACAAACACAAAAACTCAGCACCCCCTCAGTTTCTCCCATCGACTCTATCTCTGTCGTGGGACAAGACCCCTCTACAATCAAGGCAATACAAAGCAGCCAAGCAGTCAATGTTGGAGCGAGAGGAGAAGGGAGAGACCGGCTTGCGAATCTCTTATCGTCGTGGAATACCCCAAATTGTTCCAATGCGGAAACCCCCACCTGCGTCAAACCAGTAAAATCCGCTCTTGTGTCTGATACGAGTTATGATTCTGCGCGTACTGTTCATAGCGACTGTGTATTAGATTTCAACACACGCAACCCCCCACCATCTAGTTTACCAGTTGCCTCTTCTGTCAATTCGTCTGACATTAGCATTTATTATCAAAATGTCAGAGGCCTACGGACAAAAATAAATCTTTTAAGAAATTCTTTTGTATTGCATTCACATAATATTTTAATTTTTACAGAAACCTGGCTTACTACTGCCTTTAAATCTTCAGAATTAGGTCTATCTAATTATGACATTTTTCGTTTTGACAGAAGTGAGACTCAAGTGATTATTTGCGTGGAGGTGGAGTGCTTATCGCTAGTGACTCAGTGCTACGTGCTTCATTTGTCTTAACAAATATTATATCCATTGAGCATGTTTTTATTAAACTCACCCACAGTTCAAATACATATATTATTGGTACTTTTTATATTCCTCCAAATTCAAGTTTACTCATTTACTCTACCCTTTGCTCAATATTAGATGATCTATATATATTATATCCCACAGCCATTTTTTGCATCATCGGTGACTTTAACTTACCACATGTGAGTTGGAATTCAACATCTAAAGATGGACCATCATGTGTACCGGATCCTGGATCTTCTAGTATTTGCAAGAATATAGCAAATCGCTTATCTGATTCTTTAGATTACTCAAACTTAATTCAAGTAAATTCTTTTGTAAACATTACTGGTTCTATTTTAGACCTCGCTCTATATAATTCTTTAAATTACTCCCTTGAATTATCCTTAGATCCTATCCTACCAATCGACAATTATCATCCCCCGTTAATATTTACTATACATACTGCTTTAACACAAAATGTTAATTTGATCCCGGAATTTAATTATTTTAAATATGATTTTGCAAAGGCAAATTTAGGCAGTATACATACTTTTCTAGGTAACGCTGATTGGAGTTCTATATTAAAGAGTGAATCATTAGACAACGCAGTCTTGGCTTTTTATAATTATGTTTATACTGCATTTAACCTATTCGTTCCTATTAAGAGAATCCATAATGATAATTCTATGTCATGGTTTTCTCACGAATTAAAACGATTAGTGTTTCTTAAAAAAAATAGCTCATCGTAAATTTAAATGTACAAATGATCCATTGGATTACATTGAGTTTTCTAGGTTGCGAGAAAAATGCAAGTCGTTGTCTAAATTAACATTTAAAAATTACATACACAAAGTAGAGAATTCTGTAATCTCCGATCCTAAGCA